CAAGGTCATCCAGAAGATTAATGGCAATATGTAAGGTAAATAGGAACTTTGTTTTACCATAATATTCTGTATTTTTGACAGGTTCAGTATAAATCAACTTCACAAACGACGTCTATTGTGAATTACTCCTATTGGAAGAATTTTACTGGTTATCCAATTCATCATATATCAAAGTTGTATGCAGGCCGTATTATTATTATTATTATTAAACTCCAGATAGTTGGTTCATACAAGTGCCTTCTTTGCAGAACAACAGTCAGTAACATTCCACTCATAATTTATTATGCCTTTAATAAACTGGTCATAGGCGGCAATAGATTTCCACATAAACGCATACAAAAAGCCACATGGATTTCACCGGATCGCACTACACATAAACGAATCGACCATATCTGCAGCAATAAAAAGCTAAGACGAACGTGAGAATCCAGAGAGGAGGTGATATAGCATCAGATCATCACTTGCTGGTCGCTAAGACGAAATCGAAACCCAAGAAGCATAGGGCGAGGTAACGGACATCACAAAATTTTAATACGGCCTTCCATCAGGATACAGACAGACGCAACGAAGTCAAGATGGTCCTCAGGCTTTTCGTGATCTACTCAATGGAGAAATAACTGATATGGAGAAGAACTGGAAGGAGATCAAGGGGGCAATCACTTCAACACTTAAGAAGGTTCTGGGCCACAAGAAACACCATCACAAGGAATGAATCACTGTTGATAGACTGGATTAGATTCAAGAAAGGAAGAACAAGAAGGCAACAATCAATACCAACTGACAAGAGCAGAGAAAGCCAAGGCACAAGCTGAATACACATAAGTAAACAAGCAAGTAAAGGGGAGCATGAGAACTGAAAAACGTAAATATGTGGAACACCTAGCAATGATGATAGAAAAGGCTGCAAGAGAAGGAAATATGAGACAATTGTATGACACAAAAAATAACCTCGCTGGCAATTATCGTAAACCAGAACGATTAGTGAAAAGCGAGGAAGGTAAAGTAATCACCAACATTGGAGAACAGTGAAACAGGTGGGTAGAACACTTAAAAAAACTCTTGAATCGACCAGCCCCACTAAAACCACCCAACATCGAAGCAGCACCCACGGGCCTCCTAACCGATGTTGGCCCACCAACGAGTGAAGAGACCAGCATGGCCATCAGACGAATCAAGAGTGGCAAAGCAAGGGGACCAGATAACATTCCAGCAGAGGCACTTAAAGCAGACGAAGTAATAACTGCAAAAATACTCCACATTCTCTTCAATAAGATTTGGGATGAGGAACAAGTACCAACAGACTGGAAAGAAGGACATCTCATCGAGATACTAAAGAAAGGTGGTCTCAACAAGTGTGAAAACTACAGACGCATCACTCTTCTCTCAATACCAGGAAAAGTCTCCAACAGGGTGTTGTTAAACAGAATGAAAGACTCCGTAGATGCCCAACTTCGAGACCGACAGGCTGGATTAAGTAATGATCAGTCGTATGCCGACGAGATCCCAACACTACGGATCATTGTGGAACAATCAATTGAATGTAATTCATCACTCTACATCAACTTCATTGACTACGAGAAAGCGTTTGATAGTGTGGACAGAACAACACTATGGGGTCTTCTTCGACACTACGGCGTGCCTGAGAAGATAATCAACATCATACGGAATTATTATGGTGGAATTAACTGTGAAATCGCTCATGGAGGACAGCTCGCAGACTCGTTCGAGGTAAAGATCGGTGTCAGGCAAGCTTGTATACTCCCACCCTTTCACTTTCTCATGGTGATCGACTGTATTATGAAAACGTCATCTGGGAGAGGCACTGGATACAGTGGACAGCTAGGAAGCAACTAGACGATCTAGACTTCGCAGGTGATCTGGTTCTTCTATCTCACACGCAACAACAGATGCAGGAGAAGACAACCAGTGTAGCGGCAGCCTCAGCAGCAGTAGGTCTCAACATACACAAATGGAAAAGCAAGATTCTCCGATACAAACAACATGCACCAATCGAATCACACTTGACGGAGAAGATTTGGAAGATGTAAAAACCCCTATATATCTGGGCAGCATCATTGATGAATACGGTGGACCTGATGCATGATATCTACAAGTGAAGAACATCTGGAACTCAAAACAACTGTCAACCAACACCAAGGTCAGGATTCTCAATACAAATGTCGAGGCAGTTCTACTGCATGGGGCAGAAGCTTAGAGAACTACGAAAGCCTACATCCAGAAGAAACGAATGTTTTTTTAACAGTTGTCTACGTAAAATTCTTCGGATCCGTTGGCCAGACACTATCTGCAAAAACATACTGTGGGATAGAACAAACAAGAAATCTGTAAGAAACGCGCACATTGAGGGATGTACCTAACTGCGTCACAAGGCAATCCCTCACATGGAGTCCTCAAGGCCAAAGGAGAAGAGGAAGACCAAAGAATACATTGCGCCTAGAAATGGAGAAAGATATGGGAAGAATGAACAATAATTGGATAGAAGTGGAAGGAAGGCCCCGGACGGAGTGGGTTGGGGAACCAGTCAGTCAGTCAGTCAGTCAGCTACAACGTAAGATCAGGGACACATGTGTAGTTTTCATTGCGTTCGGCTATTTCACTCTCTATCCTTAGTTCAGGAGTTGACGTAAACCAGTCCTGAAGCAACGACTTGCATTTAGAGAGGGAGAAACCCATTCCAAACATTCTGGCATTGTTGCTTAGTGCTATCAAAAGACTCGGCATTTTATCAGCGTCTTCATCTGCGTATTCTAAGTCGATAAGTGAACCTCCTGGAAGGAGATCAATACCCGAGAATTCAGTCGATCAGAATGTTATTCTCATCAGCAGGTCTATGATGAAGTTAAACAAAAATGGAGAAAGTGGACAGCCTTGACAGACACCACTTGAGGTCGCAAAAGCAGATGGCAGTTCGCCATAAGCTCTGACTCGACTAGTAGTGTTCGAGTAAGGAGCCTTCACAAGGTTTGCGTACTTCTAAGGTACACTTTTCAACGACAGACACTGCCACTGCCGCCGCAGCCTTTTCCATCCCTTTTGCTTTCGTTGCCCACCACTGCTCACGGTCGTTCCTCAGACTTTTGCTTAACCTAGAACTGATTTGCCTACTCAGGTTTCCAGTTGTGTACTAGATGTTTATTGCGTCCTGATTAACACTTTGAGTACTGAAGACTACATGCACTGGATAAATTACTAATTGTCGGGACTCTATGAATCTGAAGTTTTTGAAAATGAGTCCTGCGAATCTTACCGAGGCTGAAAATCAACTGTCAATCATTTACTACACAGCGTGAGGGTTTTTGACAGTAACGTGGGCTTATGTTGGTTAAAGACAGTAAAAACATAACCATAACCGTCTTAGACTTATCTATCAATTTCATCACTAATCTCAGTAATGGATCAGTAGTGTAGTCGTATTTCCTTTCGTAAATCCATTATGAGTTGCCACAATTGACGGAGTTCTACCTTAATCTGTGGCAGGGCTTCAAAAACTGCAAACTTCCACGCAAAAATCTACATCATTGTAGTTATTCGTCAAAAATTTGCCTCTCTAATAATGTGAACATTTAACTATTTCGTTCAGCAATTTTCGATTGAATTTGACCTGAAATCACGATAACATCTAAAATGCAAAGAAACATCAGGAGGTGACTTGAAACTCATGCCAACCTCGTCACCGTCCATACCAACAAAAGCTAATTATTTTGAGTAAAATTTATTCGACACAACATAGTATATATCGAAAAAATTATCTGATAATTTCAGAAAACCACAAGGATATCAATTATTCCGTTCATTGAGGACGAACAGTGATGTTGTGTCGTCGCAAATCGCCTTTGTGTATCGAAACGCAATAAATCGTTTGCATGGCTAGTTTTCCCTTGGTGTAACTTAGATAATTTAGGCGGTCACATCTTCACTGTTCAGCTCTAATACACTAAGTATTCACAAAAGTCTCTCATTTATTATTTGGCTGATATATAACTGACCCGGTGCATCAACTTTCCTGAAAGAACAGAGCAGTTTGGGACTTGGGATTCGGCTGTAGAATTTAAAGTGAGTATCCTCGTTGTCGTGAGGTTCGTTTTAAATCTGAGTTGCAGGGAAAACAGTTGTTTTTATCAATCCGACTTTTATCTGGTGTTTCGAAAATGTATGTAGTAATGTTTAGAAGTTTATTTTAAAACAAATTTTTGCACAATTATTCAGAATTCGTCAATTTTCAAGTTATTCCGTTTGAGAGTGCATGATATTCTTGGGGGAATTTGTGCAGAGTTTAGCATCTAAGTGGATAATCTCGCAAGGATACATATTTGACTTGTCCATGACCTTACAATGAGGGAAAGAAGGGATATTGGTCTACCATCGGGAGTTTTCATCTTAATAACCTTTACATGTACAGATCTAGATGTTCTCTTTATAGAACTAGGATCCAGATCAAGTCCTGTAGAAAAACACTTTAGTTAGGTCCATACATTCCTTCGCTTGTGTGGGTAAGACCCATGCTAGGCCAGGAGATTTATGAGTTTAAGCAGCACATAGCGTTCATGGTTTTGTGATAATAAAGCCAGACAGTGCTTAAATCAACACCTGATTTATTGAAGAGTCAGCTAGACGGAAAAAACATATGCGGTTAGTGGCAATTAGATTGATATTGCTTATACAGTAAACTAACTGTATGAAACCAAGGGATAGAGATACACTATCTTCATATTGAGATGCAGTATTTTTATGAAACGGAAATGAAGCCCAGCGAAGCTTTTTGTAGAATTGCACGAACAAACTTCGAAATTAACCCATCTCGATTGATTTTTTTCGGAAAATGTGGTGCCATGCCTATAAATGACCATTGTATTTGTTACTGCTGAGTTATCATTTGCAGATTCTTGTGTTTTGTAATTATGAAAAACACTTTCCTACTATGAGGATGTGACTACGAAGAATGCTTATGGTTTGTGCTGCGTCACCTCAAACACATTTGATTTCGACCTTGCGCATATCGCGGTAAATTTGGACAAGAAGCTGCGTAACGTACTCGAAACCTTGCTTCATTAGCTTATGGTTTCTCGGGTCAAATTGTTTAGGTTTTCTGCTTGTCATTGTTATTTAATCTCGGTCGCTCTTACTGTCGAATGCAAGTAAATTTTGCGAGCTTTCTGAGTCTTCGGCTCATCTTTCCCCATGTTTCTCTTAGCTTTACTTAACTAAATTTCTCCCACTTACTCAGTACTCAACGTCCCTCAGGCCAGATGCGAACCGCTATACTCAATAATATGAGATTCCCTCATAAAGATAATTAGCCAGTCGACATAATCTGGGAAGTAAGTCATACTGTGTTCAGCTTTATTCACATGGTTATGATATTTCAAATTTGATAATGGATGGGTCCCGTTTGTTTTGTCCTCTTTAGAACGGTTCAGATAGAGTTCATCATTCTTCATGCATCTTAGCATCGGTGAAGTCTTAAGTTTTGGAGGTAGCAGACATACGTATACATTATCCTCAGAAAGACACCTCAACAAACGTGGACTATATTGCTTTACGTTGACGTGTTACTCAAGTGGTGTAATAACTTCAACCAATGCTTATGTGTGGACGGAAAGCTGGATTGACAGAAACTCTAGACATCATATATTTTATTCGTCACTTGTCCATTTTGCCGGTGAAACTCTACTTTATGCACGACCTTTGAACGAAGTTTTAAGTGACCTTGAGGACATTAGCCAATCAGAAGAGAGTTAGTATAAAGCAAAAATATATTATAAAAAAGTGATGAATTACAATGGATATTCTTCTTTTACATTATTTAAGAACTTGTTGAAGTTTTAAATAGGTTCAGAAGTTTTGAAATCATAGTGCATGCGGTATAAGAACTCGTCCATATGACTCCATAATAATCGTCCTCTGGAGCCGTGGTAGGGTTTTAAAAAATACTTCAGCCTAGACCACATGCCCTCAATGTTGTTTATATGGATCCCCCGTCGTTGGATCAAAGAAATGACGTTTGTACACCACAACATGATGCACAAAACCAAGTCTCGAGAGGCATCTATACGCTTTCCAATCATCGGTATAGCCGCAGCTAATGTTACTGGAGACTTTGTGATCCAATTTGCAACGATTATCATGGTTTGTCTTAGCCTTAGCCGTGACCGGGCAAAAAAGTGCCAGTTCGAGCAGATTTTTTTCTACAACATATAGTACAACGAAATACAATGTCATCGCGGCAGTCTGCACATCGTGCTGCGGTCATTTAATTGCCGCAGTCACAGACACAGGAACTTCTTAATAGTCCCATCTGCTGTAGTCTCTCAACGATCACCTATTCTCTAAAATCTGCTGTAAAACGATCGAATGTGAGCATCTCGCACTGAACTTAGCGCCGTGACCTTGAAATTCCTTAAACGCTTCTGATTGGCTCGTCCATAAATTAGAGTCCTATCGACTTTTTTTATAGACTCAGATAACATAAATATCTATATAAGAGACTCTCATTTGATCTTTCGCAACACGGCATGGTACGTATGTACTTCGGCGCAAGTTGTCATACCCTTTTGTCAGGCCAAACTCGAGAATAGTAGAGCAACTAACAGTATGAGTGATAATTGAAGATAAGGCATCAAAAATACAATCCAAAAAAATTCATAAAATAAAACCAAAAAAAGTTGTGAGGTATTGAGCGCAGAATTCGGGGAAGATGAATAATGGATGCACTTGTGCACATGTGGTTACTATAATCAAGCGAACCCCAACCAGTTAGTTTACACGTATTAACATGGCTCAGTTCAGTTGTCGATTATGAGGGCTCTGATAAACATAGTCTTCTGATCGCAACAACCCAAACATTTTTTGGATGTTTTCCTCGAAATGCGTAATGTTGCCACAAGGCTGATCTGCATAATTATCTAGACTGATGATAAGTAATGAAGTCTCTCGTGTTCACTTCACTTAAGCTAGCAGTTTGATTAGTTTTCTCGATTTGGTGTCTACGAAATCTCCAGACTAATACAGAAAGCTTTCATAGCTCTTATCAGATTGCGTCGCCTGCGATATGAACAAGATGCTTGCCAAGGAGGTGGTCAGTACACTGTGCAGTACTCTCTATTTTTATTACTATGAATCATGGTCGTTATACGTAGTCATTTATAGGTTACTAGTATTTGATCATGTCAGGGAAGTCCCACTCACTGCCTTCTCGTGGCGGGGTGTTTATGAAATTGAGAGGACGAAAAGCGAATATCCGGAGCTTGAACCGGATTCCAAACCAATGGTGCACATGGGCTCCAGTATCCTGCGGGAACAAATGGCGTATGAACCAATCATTGGTCACCGGCTACCATGGAACTGCATCTCTTTACGTTGCTCCACTGCCTTGTGGATCAGACCTTCGGGTCGAAGGCTTGGGGAGTGGCCGCCTAAGAAAACCACGTGCTTCGGTTTGAGCACCCGGGCAGTATCACAGCTCTCACACAAATCAAATGAGATTTGTATGGCCCATATGCATTTGATGCCCCTTTGTTCCACATACAATTGGTCAAGTGACATAATTTGTCCTTAAAATTATTGCTGAATATTTATCAGTTGGAGAACTATGTACGCAAGGTTGCTGCGAAGAACGTTTCATTGGGAGACTTGGAAATTCTTCTCTTCAGGATGTTTCCAGTCATATCACCTTTGGAATCTATGTTTATATAAAGTGTTTTCTTTTCTACAGAGGTTATCTGTGCTCTATGCAGCTTAAGTTTTATATTCTTGTCAATAAATATCGATAGATACCCGTTTTGGATAATCATTTTCTTAATGAGTCTCAATTCGTTATCTATGATTACTTTTGATGAGTATTTGATGCAAAATTACCCGAGTTTCTGAATGTCTTATAATGTAATTTCTTCTTGTTTATTAAATAGAAACTAGGTCTGTTAAATAACTATAAATATGTTTATTTGTCTCGACACAAACATTAGTATAAAGGGGTACGAAATACATATGCACCACACAATAACAATGAGGTTGTGATGAGATAGAGAATGTTAAGTGCATATAATGAAAAAGAAAAATAACGAACAGAAATTAGTGTATGAGAGTGAAATAGTATTGAGAAAAAGCAGTTCAGTTAGCAGAAGTACAACCAGAAGGAATTTTTTCAGTCAAAGAAGTTACGTTCATTTTATGAAGTAAGCAAAAGAAAGTTACAATAGGATCGCCACTGGCTTCTATTGTGAGCCATGTCTAATAGCGTCTCTAGCCACTGTGTTACAACAGCTCTGAGATCCTACCAGAGAGTAGTGAATGGCCAACAGAAGCCAGTCTTGTAGTTTTCTTTTATACTATTAGTACCGTATCATACATTGACCACCTCCCCGCCTTCTACAGACAGTCCCAGTGTAGGCAAATAATACACGACGTGGGATCCTCTGGTACCACATTTATAGTAGGCCAAGAGACCGTAGTCGATGTATCAAGATGGTGACTCCAACTGAATTGTCGTCTCTGTGCCCGAACATACGATGCTGAACCTCTGCATTACTAACATGGTGTTGCCACTAGATGTCAGCAATCTTTCGGAGACAACGGTGATCAAACACAGAGTCGTCTAACATCCCCAACTCAAAGAGACCAGGTTTTACAAGCATAGAGCAAAACTGCTCTCACCAATGCGTTGTAGATCCGACTTTTTACGGATAGACTAAGACCACGAAGGCGCCATATATGGCTTAGATTGGCATAAGCCGCTCTGGCTTTCATTATACTTGAATTGATCTCATCACTCACGCCACCACCAGAACTTATGCAGCTACCCAGATACACGAATTCCTTGACTATTTCTATCCGCTCACTAACTAGTGTGAGTGTAGGATCAGGGTCCTGCCGGTCTTGTAAAAATACTTTGCACTTGGAAGGTGCAACGCACATACCATACCTACGGACACTGATCACCAATTGATTAAGTGCGGATTGCATGACTTGGGTATTATCGTACAGTAAGACAATATCATCAGCATGCTCAAGGTCGACAAGTTTTGCTCCAAGCAACCGATCCACATCACCATAACGTACATCCATCAAAGCTGTTTCTAAAACTTCATTGATGGCAAAGTCGGAGAGGAATGGTGGGATTGGGCAACACTGACTAACCTTACTTCTTGAATGGAGCAATGGGGAGAGTTGGTTGTATGCCCTCACTCTGCCTGAGGTGTTTGTATATAGGGCTTTTAGGATGTTAATAAACTTCTCAGGCACACCCTTCTTCAATAGACAATCCCAGAGAACAGTCCTATCCAACGAATCGAAGGCAGCCCTGATGTCAAGAAACACTATGGTTGTTGGCCTCTGGCAAGTATGACGGTGTTCTAACATTTGGCGGAGAGTGAAGGTATGTTTAATACATTTTCAATTAGAACGAAAACCAACTTGCTTCTTGTGGGTTTTGAACAATCTACGAAGTATAACAGAAGCCAATAGCTTGGACGCAATCGGAAGTAGACTTATTCCCCGATAATTGTTGCAGAAACGATATGAACCGTTTTTAAAGATGGGAACAAATATCGATTCATTCCCTGATGTCGGAACACTCGGATTGCCAGACCTCTGCAAACAACGCAGTCATTTCCTTAACCAGAAGGTCGCCATCATCTTCAAAAAGGGTAGTGCAGTGCTAACGGGTGTTAGAGATGGTTGGAAGAGAATTAGGGGCGGCCAAACCAAAACGTGGCATCAGTGCTTGAAGTCACTAACTTCTAGTCTGAGCCATGTTGGTAGATGCACACTACTTGGTTGGGGTCCGCGTGACTTTCGTAACCGATGGTTGGAGACTCTTGGTGACATGGCTTAGAATCGATCACAATGGCGTCGGTGCATACACTCCCTGTCTTCCCTTAAACTAAGAGATTAAAATCAATTCATATCTTTCTTTCTACTAACTAATTCTTTCTTCCTGTACTGTATCCTTATATGCCATCTTTCTTTTATATATTAGCACCTTTGACCTAACCACTCCTATGAATCCGGTGTTCATCTTGCTATGCTAATGAGGTATGGCAACCTGGACCGATGCATATATGTGCCTGGTCCTACGTTGTAGCTGACTGACTGGAGGTAAGTTATCTGGACCCGGTGATTTTTAGCGCTTCAATATTTAGAGTTCCCTGAGGACTTCCGCCTCATTTGGTGAATCAGTCTTCACAGGCCATGGAAGGCAGGGCAGTCTGATCAATGTCGCCTAGACAACAGACCAGTTGAACTGTTTCTCAAAAAAACTGCCCATTGCTCAAGACGTTGATTGATGTTAGTGATTGGTGTTCCGTCATCTTCACAGATTGTTCCACTCACACCAGACTTCTTACTGCCAGTGACTCGGATGAGTTCAAAGAGCTTCTGGTGGTTACCAGATGCAGCTGCTGCTTCCAACTCATTGGTACGCCCCGACCGCCAGGCTTCTCGGTCCAAGATTTGTCCGGTTTTATTTCGAAACAGTCGTCGTTTGTGGTCAAACTCACAGTCACCTGGAGTAGACCGAAGGGCTTCAACGATTTGTAAGGAGCCAGAAGAAACCCAATGTTTATAAGCGGGACGTTTCGCGAAGCTGCAAGCGACTTTACTCATCATTTTCATGACGTCGTGTAATTGCAACCAATGCTCATCTGTACTTTTCGATGGGCTGATAACTAACCTTGAACCTAGCTCGGTTTGATATTTAGTTGCAACCAATTTACTGTCATCGGTGCTTTTAGGACGATGAATTTGTTGGTCACTGAAAAGTAAGGTAAGATTAGAGCAAACATGGGCATAATTATAGTTCAGATAGGTACTTCAAAGTGAGCGGCAGTCTTGTTCACAACCACGCTAGCGGTAGCTGATTACGATGTGATCAATCTGAGTCCAGGCTTGAGATGCAGAGGGAGGGCGCCAGGTGGCACATCGGCGATGACTGTGTCGGTAGTTGGTGCTAGACAGAAACAGGTTATGGTCTGCACACACTTGCAGTAGACGGCCAGCGTTATATGACCTGTGACTACCTAAATGACCCTCTTCTGTGCCCAGACGCCTGATCTGAGTGTTCAAGTCCCAGACTAGTACTACAATATCTGTCGAACGCAGTTTCTGTGGAAGAACTGCTAACTGGTGATAAAATTTATCCTTGATCGCATCCAGGATGCAATCTGTTGGAGCGTAGGCGAAGATAATTAAAAGACATCGTTTCTCGTACGGATTTCTTCCTACTTTGATTTTTATTTATTTTAACACATAGATATTGGTACAAGGAGGCACCAAATACATATGCGCCACACAAATCTCACTTGATATGTGTAAGGGCTGTGACACTGCCCGGGTGCTCAAACCGAAGCACGTGGTTTTCTTAGGCGGCCACTCCCCAAGCCTTCGACCCGAAGGTCTGATCCACAAGGCAGTGGAGCAACGTAAAGAGATGCAGTTCCATGGTAGCCGGTGACCAATGATTGGTTCATACGCCATTTGTTCCCGCAGGATACTGGAGCCCATGTGCACCATTGGTTTGGAATCCGGTTCAAGCTCCGGATATTCGCTTTTCGTCCTCTCATTTTCGTGAACAACAGTAATGCCACGAGAAGGCAGTGAGTAAGAATTCCCTGGCAGATGCTGTATACGCGTGGCCATGTGAGAGCTTCTTGAGAGGGAGAGCGGACTCTCCCCACTCTCGGCCGTACCAGGGGGTGCCTTACTTTGATGGAACCTTGTAATTTAACAGCACATAGCTGACTTAATGAGGACACAATTGAACAATGCTGCCTCATCTCTATCACTTAGTGTGACCCCGACACCAGCTAAATCAGACGAAGACGCCAGAGGGTCTCCAGATAAATACACTTTGAACAAGCTTTGTGAAGTGATAGATGGATAGCGAATTTGTAGTGCTTCACTAAAGTTTTGAATACGGGTCTCAGATAGACAACAGACTTCGATTGTGAGACTTTCTCAAGACTTTAAATATAATTGTAAAACGTTTGTAAATGATAATGTCGAAAAGAACTTTCTCCCTGAATTATCTTTTTTTATTTATTGTGCTGAAAATTCTGTTGTACCAAACATATAATATTGAGTAAAGCCATTTATTGTGACAATATGTTTTCATTTCGTGTTATGTATAGCAAGTAAGTTATGTGCTGCAATTTAATATTAACTTGTAGAAAGTAACTTAGAGAGAAATTTATCAGCACCTACATCTTACTATATTGGATCAATATATTGTTTGATATACTGTCATTTTGGCCTCATCTGATCAAGTTCTTTTAAACTATTTTGTATTTTAGGTATTCTTAAATGTCTTATCTTGAAGCTTTTCCAACATGTACAAAGGTGAAAAGATGTGTACAGTCAGTCTGCTCAGAGTATGTTATTTTTATATAAGGATAATTTTAATCTATATTGCTTTATTTTAGAACATTCGAAAAAGATGTAAGATCATTTAAATCACCACAAAATACAATATTATTTTAGTTGAAATATCCCCGCCTGTTGGATAAATCAAGAAATAATATAATCCGTACTCCATCATTATGTGATGTTAGTTACAGTTCAACAAACCGTTTAAATGAATTTGAAAATGCCAACAATCCTTCATGTAGTCATGATCGACTTGCTCAGTTATCCGCTTTAATTGATCAATGTTCACATGGTGAATTGTTGCATATAAAAAAAACTATAAAACCATTGTTGAAACGAGATTTTATTGCATATTTACCTGTTGAAATTTCTTTACATATCTTACAATATTTATCACCTCGAGACATATTTCATTGCGCCCAAGTGAGTTGGTGATTCCGTGATATATATTTTTTGATGTGGAAGGATTTTGTGTCATGTTGTACATATGGGTGCCAATCTATGAGGTCATTGATGACTGAGCCATGTTAATAGGTTTATAATACCTGGGTTGAGTCCTCGTAATCGTCTTAACTAATGGTTAGAGACTTTGGATGACACGGCTCGCAATCGTTTTCTATGGCACGGGTGCATCCATTATTTGAAAAAAAGTTGATATTGTTTGTTCTCCTCTGCTTCTCATGTTGTTACTTTCTCTTACGTCACTAACGTGAGATGGACCAACTTGGATCAGTATATATTTGTGCCATCTGTTTCGCTGTTCTTGGATCTCAGTGATTGGCTTGCCTTCTTCGTCCTTGACTGGTCTTTCTGGTTTACAATATTTCTCTGCTAGTTTCCTCGTTGCACCATAAAGTTACTTCATTATTTCCTTCTCGCTGCTTTTTGTCTTCTGCCAGGGCTTCCACTTATTTCTACTTATAGGCTCTAATGCTCCTTTTCTATCGTTCGTTTGTTTCTGTGTATTCAGTCTCTGCTCTTGTTCAATTGTTGTTCATTTCTGTCTTATTGTTTGTCCTTTCTCGAATCTTGCCCAGAGTATTGATAGAGATGCATTTTTATGATAGCGCTTCTTAGAGCCAAAAACATCCTATCATGTTGAAGTGAGTGCTTTCTTAATCCTTTACCAGTTGTTCCCTATAGTAGTTCACTCTTCTTTAATTAGATCTTGTGAGGTTTGGAACCGTTGCTTAAAGTTCTATTGAATTCTCTGGTTCTCTGTAGTTTTGTCCAGAGAGACCCATGTAGCTTCATGTATGTGTTTGCGTGGGAATAGTGTCACTTATAATCATTTTTCGAAGGGATATAAATGAGCAAATCTCTCACCATTCCTGTTTATTTTTTCTATCCCATGCCATCTCATGACATTTTTATACCGTGTTGTCCATTCCGACTTTAGCGTTTAGGTCTTCCATCAAAATACTCAGGTCCTTTCCTGGGCAGTCAGTCATCTACAACGTAGGACCAGGCACATGTATGTATCTGTCCAAGTTGCCACATCTCATTAGCACAACAAGATGATCGCCAAATTCATAGAAGTAGTTACTTCAGTGGTAGTAATGTGTTAAAAATAATTGTTTATAAGACGAAAGAATCAGTTCGTATAAAGAAAGGTAATGAAGTATTTTTAATCTCACAGTTTAAGGGAAAACAAGGTGTGTATATACCTACGCCACTGTGATCAGTTCTGAGCTATATCACTCAGAGTCTCCAACCACTGGTTACGATAACTGCGCGGACCCCAACCAACATTTCGTCTTTAACAAAAATGTATCACCTGCGTATTTTAAATCAACAAGTGAATTTACAGTTAAGAGATCAACCCCTGGAAATTTAGATGACAGGTGTGTCATATCTAGAAGTGTCTATGACAAGGTCATTTAAAGAAGAAAGTGAAAAGTCCTGGCGAACACCACTTGAAGTTGACGATTTTGATGATAGTTATCCATAAGCTCTAACTCAAATAATAACGTCAAAGTAATCGTCCTTTAAAAGCTTGATGCAATTCTTTGGTACCCTTTTCATTGACAGACCACCACAAAATCTCTCGATCGACATAGTCGAATGCTACTTTAAGGTCAAATACATCTATTATCGGACATTGGACAGTATGCCTGTGTTATAAAATATGTTGTAAAGTGATAATTTAGTCCATTCATCTTACTCCTTATCTGAAACCAACCTGACTTTCTTGGATTTACTCTTCATGAGCCCTAGGCATTGAATGTTTGTAAGGGCCAATATTTTGAACACTATATTAGTCATACTGATTCCTTTCTGAATTTTGTCCTTTTCTCGTAAACTGGTACGATCGAGATCAGTTAAATGAGACTTCGCCTACTTCTCAGGTTCTAACCAATGTTACAGTCAACTTAACTGCTGAAACTGGATCATTATCCTCCAATATTTCCAGGACTAATCCGTCTGAACTGTCTTCCCTCCTTCGCGTCACATTATTTATAACATTTATAACCTCATTAGGAATTGAATGACTTTTTTCAGTTTCTCATTCAGGTTGTTTAGAGATTGCTCGTAACTGGAGAGTTGCTATAGAGTGGCTGTACTGTTCCATAGTGTTCTTCCCGTTTATTTAATTTGGACTCAAATTGACTGACAGTTCCGTTCTTGTCCGAGATAGTTTCACTAACGCTTGCCGTTTTAATACTTATTTCCTTTATTCAAAATATTTACTTAATGTTACCAATCCACTATACTTTTTCCATCAATTTCGCTTTCACTATATATCACCATTGAATACCGTTAAGGACTGGATAGTTGTTCTTCCCTAATCAAGGTTTCCTTACCAGGGATCAAACCTAGGACCTTCAGTCTTTACGGCTCTTGGCCTTCAGAACATTCTGTTTCTATCAAATGATTGACATTTCTAACCTTGGTCAATTCACAACGCTGCCGTAGGTTCCTAAGCTGAAGCGAAATAGCTATGGTTGTCTATCCACAGTTAGTCTGTGATACAAGGTACAAAGTTAAACAATTTCCACAAACCCATCATTAGTAATAGAACTTTTCCATCTCACTTTTAGCAACTTCAATCGATGCACTTATGTTCCAGGTTCCACCCCACATGTCTCCATATTTCTCTCTATTCTTTTTTCTTTTTGTAGGTTTCCAAGACTTGGCAACTTGTTTGTGATGATAATTTGCTTTGGTATCGTTTGTGTGTAGGTGCTGGATTGTTTAACACATTATTCAACAAATCCACAATGAACTTATATTCAGGTAATGTGTTTATTTGTTTTTGTTTTTTTATTGTAAACACAAAAAATCAATCTAGGTACCCATCTGGATTGTCTTTTATGTGTAAATAAACCTACAAATTCACTTTGTAATGAGACAAAATCCCTTTTTGAAAGCTCTATCATCAATAATAGTAATATCACTGATGATGGTGACAATTTTAAGGTACATGATTGTGATGTGTCCATGAAAAGTGATCATATTCAATCTTTTGACACTGATAATGAATCAACTTTTGCATTATCTTATTCTGGTAATCCTTCAAATTCTTTTAATTTGAATGAGGTAAGTAATTTTAATATTAAATCTTTTTTAAACAAGCATTTTACTTTTTAGATGCTTATATTCTGGTTTTAATGGAAGTCATTTACCATGTACACTTGGTTTTGAGCTATGAAGTGTGTGTGTGTGTGGTCTAGTGGTGTTAATTACTCTCTGTTACTTGAAATGAACTAAGTGAAGTGGGACTGAATCTCATAACTTGAAATCCGAATGCTTTGGCTGCTAAGCCATTGTTCCTAGTATAATTTAATAACCGAAGTTTTTATTTCCTTCTATTGAAATCTAGTCGTATACTTACTAATCATAATTGATTGGTTATTAGTTCACTGTAAAATTCATCATTATCAATTCATTGATTATCTAATTGTTGAAGGGTATATTTACGATTGATTGATCACAGATTAATGGCTAGTCCCATGTTTGTCTGATCTTTTAATGGTGATCGAATTCCATAGATTAAGATGTAATGTCACTAGTCTAAGTGATTCAACATTGCTAACACCATGTTGATCTGTTAGGTTATTGAAAGTAGGCTAATCGATCACATTGCATTCGATAGAATTCGATCCTCACTAAAAGACTAGACAAACATATTATTGGTCACTACTCAGTGATCAATTGTAGATATTTCAACCCCGCAGGAGGTCAATTGCGAACCGAATCGGTCAGTTGTAATATCAAACAATGAAGCTAGGTAAATGACACCTGTCAGTAGATTTCACGTTTTAGTTGATGCGGGTTAACACTTGAGAATTTTATATTGTACTAAATATATAATATTGAATAGGGCCATCAAGAGTAATAAATAAATATTGTTCACTGATCACGACGTATTCAAACTACAACTGCTCTTAATATGATTTTTCAGCTTTATGGTGTATCATTCCACTTGCTAACCCATAAACTTTTGTTGGTATTTTGCAAACATAGATATCATAAATGGGACAGTTTTGTTTTTCGTAGCGTATATGTCACTCATTGACATGTAATATTAATGATTATACTTTTATCTACTTTTTATTTCATATCGTAGAATTCTATATATTATTACTTTCTTCCATACAGGTCAATTGGAAGTCTTTATATCGTCAAGATTTACATACTCAGTGCAATTGGAGAAATGGTGGACCATGGCATCCTATCATTGTACCAGCTCATCATGTAGGTTTACTACAATTTTACCTTAGAATAGATTAAATGTCGCTAGCATTAGAATCCAGGACTCAGGTTTTGTCCTATTTGGGACTCGTCAACCGGATGTGTCTGAATCTCGCAGTTGACATTCACTCCGAGACTGGGACCTAGTACTGTACCGTCTACTTCGAAAACTTAGATACTGAGTTCATAAAGCCGCTCACTTCTGCACATTCCATCTATTCTATACTAATTTTTGGCACAATAGCTATATTGAGGTAATCCGCACAGAATGCAAATATGCCAACCAATTCTGATGAAATCTCAGTTAAAATATTAACAGTAGGATAATCCAATCCATTTCAAATAAAATTACTGTTTTTATGATTATTGTTATTTTGAATGGTGGAATAGTAACTGTATATGTGTATGCTTAAATGAATATCGCGATTATATCCTTGGCTTAAGGGGATCATTGAAAAATAATCAATAATATAAGTAGGTCGTATGTTAAAAGTCTTGCTTGGGATGAAACCTTTAACAGATAATGCGATGACCAAAAAGAAGCCTTTCTTTCCAAGACTTGGGTTAAAGCAAGGGTGATGAAATAGCTTATGAAAACACTCTCGATACTATTGTCTAAAGTAAATAAGCTAGTTTTTAATGAATAGCACTATTTTGTTTGAGCTGTAAACAGCTGATGAGAAACTGCAAAATATAATGAATTCGTGTTATTCTACTACGTTAATTGTTAGTTAGCTAAAACAACCCAACAGGCTATGAAAGGCGGTAGTATCGGTTTACTATCCCTCATCTATTTGACTTATGTTAACCTGGATTGTTGAGTAAAGAGATCAATGTACTGGTTGGATGTTGCTATCCAGAAGCCAATAAACTATAGGACTAAAAGATCTGAAGTGGAGCTGAATTTTATGCAATAAGTATACTCGTAGGTTGGAAGTCTGTCAAAAATCCTGATGGAACATTAAAGTATAATAAGCCAACTTGTTAAGATAAGTCGGAATTCTTATAACCTTTGGTAAATTCTGGAGCAACTGAATTAGTATATGATCCAGTAGTAGATATTTCACGGTTGATGTTTTTAGCAAATATATATATATATATATATATATATATATATATATATATATATATATATTACGTTAGAGCCAATCCGAAGAATCTCTGATTGGGTCAGGTGACCGGCTTTTCCTATGGCTATGAAATAGGTGCTAGAGATCTAGGTTTATAAATTCCTAGTTTTTTTAAACTATTAATGTAATTGGTGTGTGTTAATCCTCGACTCACTTTCTCCCTATGTGTATCAAACCAATAAGATTAACACTATTTCTCCATTATCTATATACCCTTTTTACTGCCATCTCACTAGTCAAATCAGACGGAGCCTAATTAATTCTCAGGTGGTGTGATTTGTTTTGTTTGGTATTATAAACTCCTTTTTACAACATAGCGTTATTTGAATTGGTTCAATCGTCTCGAAGGCCAAACCTTAACATTGAAGCATATGGATGAGCGCTTGTATTGAAATGAATAAATGAGAGGACAGAATATTAGTGTCGTCATTCGAAAAGCTTATCACAAACCTGCTACTTCAGTCTATTATGCATCCGAGACTCATAGCACAGACAAGAATAGTATTTAAAGGTATAAAATTTGTATCAAAAGCTCCCTCCACCATTCCCCTGTACCCTACCAAGCATCATCTAAACCAAACCGTGAAATGACTATTCGTATGCATAAAAATGCTAAATTAAGATTGTTAATCAGTTTAACTTTTAGGTATGAAAATTACGGAAATAATAGTCGCCCAATACGTTTATTTAAACGACCGTAACTTCTGGGTCAGCCTAACTTGGGTTATGATCTTTAATTAGTTGGGCATTCTGAAACGTTAGCTGCACTTATCATCAATCTTGGAGGTTGCAACTGGGAATCGCCAAGTGAACGATGGTCTAAAATGCTAATTTCCTCAACACTGGATCAGAAAAATGTAGACGGTCGATTTTCGGATGTGATAGGTACTGATGGTATCCACAGGTGCAACAAGAAGTGTACGATTCTGTACGAGATAATTGCACTAAATGCCTTCATAAAGACGATGCCAGTAACATTTGGAATCCTGGTCAAAGAAAATTCCGAGCTAAATGGCAGGTTCGTAGCCTTCTTCCGAGACAATGCTTTGACAGGGATACCTGTTCTTTCATCAGTGACGACAATCTTGCTATAAACAGCTGGTTTCATGTTAGATTGCATGAAATAAGGAAAGAAGTGCCTAGAAATGTTGTGTTCCACTGCAGTATAGAATTACTGGAAATGTGAAGTCGTATCTGTCCGAAAGCATGGCACTTACTGGAAACTGGAGTGCTTTAGTTCGGAACATCAATAAAGGACGAATCTTATTCTTCTGAACAGCTGTCAAACGACTAATGCGGCGATCTTTCTCAGATATGAAACAGAGAAACTCGTGATTATAACTGAATGATCACCTAGGTACTGCATAAAAGCCTGCCAACCGACCAAATGTATAGAACTGACATCCATAACTAACAGACTATCTGTGCCACGAAGTGAAGTATTGACTATGAGACCAAACTCTATGTCGCTTGAGAAGTTATTGGTTCATGAAGGTGAATTTTTATTCTGTACACGATTTGCATTTCTACGAGTGTCTCATATTATGGAATGCCAAAAGGTCACGTTCTCAAAAGCTTTTGGTTGTCTGAGGAATTCTACATCTGTCAATGAATGGTGAATTATTTATTTGCTTATTTTAACACAGAGATATTGGTACAAGGAGGAACCAAATAGATATGTGCCACATAAATCATTCGATTTATATGAGGGCTGGGATACTGCCCGGGTGCCCAAACCGAAGCAGTTGGTTTTCTTAGGCGGCCACTCCCCAAGCCTTCGACCTGAAGGTCTGATCCACAAGGCAGTGGAGCAACGTAAAGAGATGCAGTTCCATGGTAGCCGGTGACCAACGATTGGTTCATACGCCATTTGTTCCCGCAGGATACTGGAGCCCATGTGCACCATTGGTTTGGATTCAGGGTTTTCCAACTCCCCTAGGTGAACTCTCCATGTCCACCAACCCAGTTAAAGCGTCGGACAACCGCTTTTCGTCCTCTCAATTTTATCATCATTTTTTTATGAAATGATGAGTTTTAACGACGAGTGATTTCGGCTGTGTGAAATATTCTTTTACATTTGTGCCCATTACCGGCATTAACGTGTTCATTCCTGCCAGTCATCCAAAGCATGTTGCGTTATGTTAGTGAACTACATAGAAAAAAGTACCTCTTTCTTAGGATATAGGGATGAGGCTTCAACGAGATTGCTGACGGTGTATTTGTATTGCCCCTTCATAACTTCGGTTCTACATTCTCATGGTTATTCTTTACAACCCAGTTATTCGGTACAAATAACTACCCAATAACCTTTATTTTAAATTCGTGTCGTTTACAGCTTATAGAGAATGTAGTATAATAGTGTGTTAATAAGTATGCATAACTGCAATAATGATGTTTAGATAATGCATAATTCCTTATGTGATTCGTAATTTCCGCATACAGGTTCACGCCACTTAAGATCCAGATGGGGACAACATTAATATTAGGATTTGAATAATGTATCGTTTCATTGACTGATCAGTATCAGTTTGAGATGATTTTCACTACCGACTTGAAGCAGTTGACCTATATCTGCCGTTATTAAATATAAATTTTTCGATGATACATACTTTTGGAATTGTAGTAAACTTTCACTGTTTGACATGATTACCATATTCTCATTTACAAGTGAGAAAGTAGTTGCACGTTAATATTACTAAAATTGTATCATTTTAACAAGAATGTTATAAATGACAATGTTGAAAGATCATTTTTCTGCAAATATTCATATATGAGATATGATTTCAAATATACTTACAATTGACTGACTTTCCAATATGACAATGAACAAGTTAGTAGCATGAAACGGCTGTTCAGCGCTTCCAGGATTTAAATGGTGGTTTTATTTAGCTCATAGTACTACTACTACTACTACGTGATTTAAACCATGAAAGTTCTACAATCTGCCCAAATTTCTCGATACTGTACATAATTATCATTCGATAAAATACAAACATTTCACTAGTATGAACAAGTGAAAATCTTTTTATTTTCAAAAATAATGTATAATTCGCATCTCATTTAACCGTTTTATTCAATCTATTAAGAATTACATAATGTGTGGATAACAATCTGGTAAATTGTATTTTTAATTAGTGGTACCCATTGTTTGAGACTAACCTTATTAATAAAATGAGTAATACAGAGATATGAACGAAGAATATCCTTGAAGAGGAAAAATGTATTTCTAAAACGACATATACACTTCAAAATTGTGTTATTCGCACATTAGAAAGGTCAAAATGATTTGGAGTAAAGTGTCCAGTCACAATAAGTAGAATAGTATTATAGCAAAAATGAAAATGTAAAACAATTGTGTCAATAAGATGAATAGTAGGAGAATTTTATCTTGTCAATTGAGATAATATTATTAATGATATCACTGGTTGAAATCATGAGTCAATTGAAGCTGGACCACCATGGAAAACCTGGAAGCACTGGACGGCCGTTTCGTCCTAGTATGGGACTCCTCAGCAGTGAGAATCTACGACGTCGCCCCTTGCGAGATTCGAACCCAGGGCCTACTGGTCTCGCGTGCGAGCACTTAACCAATAGACCACTGAGCCGGCATTCAACGGTGTTAATGTCTAACTTCAACCAATCCACGAAGTTGCGCCACCGTACATCATTGTCTTCAGTGAGTTGATATCTCACAACCGACCTGGTTGAACTCCACGGGTAACGGCTTCTCACTAGAACTCCAGGAGTATCTCTTGAAGTCAGTCACTAGTGAGCAGATGATTATTATCAGAATATAATATGTAATAAGGGGGGTATTATCAATGTAATTACGATGAACGAATTGGGAATGATGGATGTGAAGATTAAGATAGAGGCAATAAAAAAGAGGGGGTATGATGTTTATAATATTGCAAACTTTCACTATTTTTAACACATTATTGTCAAATTCATTAATACATGCCTTATTTTGGCCTTTGTAAAATATTATAATTATGGATTTATAACTGCAGAGCCTGATGATGAAGTTATTGAAAACAATTGTTCGCTCAAATATTCCTCTTTTTTGAATATTCTATTGGGGATTTTCAAACTATTTGTAAAATCTCAGAATGAAGTTGAAGTAAATCCAACGTTTCGCCTGGTAATCTGATCCCATCTTTTTCAATGAAATATAGTCAAACATCAAAATTATCGAATATAAATAGATACACGGTTCTCCGGTTCATTGTATACTGAATAGGTCATCCAATCAACCTTAACAATGTTTAAAGTAGGTATTTATATTAGTGTGTAGGAGACATGTGGCGTGAAGCGAAAAGTGTTAAGATAACAGATTGTGTGTATACGTAAGTGAGAAGAAGAAATTTCATTCATTATATATTGTCTTCCATCAGTGAATACTAAGAAAACATATAATTTTTATAAATGATATGAATCAAAAATGTCACAGCATACATAAAATGAAAAGAAATAAACGAGATAAAGGAATGAATTCAAAGAGGAAGAATGTATTTGTAATTGAATGTTTGTGTAGCTTGTGACTTAGGCAATATCGAGGTCATCCACACAGGATACACATATGCCAACAAGGGACTGATCAATTGCAGTCCTAAATAACAATCGTAAGATACAAGTAAACAACAAGTGAATGTTTGTGTTATTTTAATGTTCCACTTAATTGTTTAAGACATTCAGATAAGGTAACTGATTAGAACCGTTGAATGTAATTGCTGTTATTCAGATAATACGAGGTAGATAAAATGGAATAAGGAGTTCAGGTTTACATATTAACTATCAGTTGCCATGGGACAGCTAATTGTATTCCACCTCGTAGTAATGCTGTTTGGATTTACCCATATGTATAGGGCTTCGGTTGTTAGCCTCTCTTTGTAAGAATTAAGGCATTTCTTGTGTCACTGAAATCAATTGTATAACCCGATTCTATCGAGTGTAATGCTATCGCTGATTTGTTCTCGAGTTTTATTACATCATGTGAGGATTTAGGGATGTGCTTCAAGCATATTTTGTGTTCCTTCACCCTCACATTCAGTTGTCTTGATGTTTCACCTACATACGCTGCATTACAGTCACTACATTTAATTTCATACGTTCCCTAAGAAATACTCTTGTAGCTGTAACAGCTGCTTTTTGTGAACGTGGTGAATTGCCCGGAGTCTTAACTCCTAACGTTTTTGGATAAACATGATGTTTAAACAACGTAGATTGAGAATTCGGTGGTTATACCAGTCGTACATTTTCGATAATTTGATGCGATTGCAGAATAATATATAAGAACTTTTGTCTAAATTTGATCGAATAGTTACAGCTACAAGTGTATTTCTTAGGGAACATATACATAAATCCATTATAAACTTGGACTATCTACGTTCACGAATAGCAAAATATCGGTAGTGTTTTATCATTAATTATACCAACAGAATTAAAAACAAATATTAATGAATTTTTCAAAGAAAGAAAACTTTTATGATCAAATTACAAAAAAAACCGTCAAGTAAGAAAATTTGAACTAATGTTTCAACATTCGTCGAAATCCAATAATGATGCGATTAGAAACAAATCCAAGGAAGTAGGTATAAACAAAATAGCGGTGAATCTATCTGATAGACATTTAAATAAAAACTTTTTAGCTTCTGAAATTATTCCGTTTATCGAGCCTGCCTTAAACAGTGTTCCGGATGACTTAGCGAATTCAGTGAGGTTTAAAATCTCAGTTGCATTGTCGAATTAAAAACCGAACGCGCCTAATCTATCTAAAACAGCTACGTGAAGATAGAAAAATTATTATTATGAAAAAGTAAATGAACATTTCCACATTGGACCTTATGAAAAAATCATGAATATATTTTTTCCCACATTAAGGGATTTAGTTGAAAAAATATGGTCCCTTGGATGCGCACTGCTGAGGAGTCCCATACTAGGACGAAACGGCCGTCCAGTGCTTCCAGGTTTTCCATGGTGGTCCAGCTTCAATTGACTCATGATTTCAACCAGTGATATCATTAATAATATTATCTCAATTGACAAGATAAAATTCTCCTACTATTCATCTTATTGACACAATTGTTTTACATTTTCATTTTTGCTATAATACTATTCTACTTATTGTGACTGGACACTTTACTCCAAATCATTTTGACCTTTCTAATGTGCGAATAACACAATTTTGAAGTGTATATGTCGTTTTAGAAATACATTTTTCCTCTTCAAGGATATTCTTCGTTCATATCTCTGTATTACTCATTTTATTAATAAGGTTAGTCTCAAACAATGGGTACCACTAATTAAAAATACAATTTACCAGATTGTTATCCACACATTATGTAATTCTTAATAGATTGAATAAAACGGTTAAATGAGATGCGAATTATACATTATTTTTGAAAATAAAAAGATTTTCACTTGTTCATACTAGTGAAATGTTTGTATTTTATCGAATGATAATTATGTACAGTATCGAGAAATTTGGGCAGATTGTAGAACTTTCATGGTTTAAATCACGTAGTAGTAGTAGTAGTACTATGAGCTAAATAAAACCACCATTTAAATCCTGGAAGCGCTGAACAGCCGTTTCATGCTACTAACTTGTTCATTGTCATATTGGAAAGTCAGTCAATTGTAAGTATATTTGAAATCATATCTCATATATGAATATTTGCAGAAAAATGATCTTTCAACATTGTCATTTATAACATTCTTGTTAAAATGATACAATTTTAGTAATATTAACGTGCAACAACTTTCTCACTTGTAAATGAGAATATGGTAATCATGTCAAACAGTGAAAGTTTACTACAATTCCAAAAGTATGTATCATCGAAAAATTTATATTTAATAACGGCAGATATAGGTCAACTGCTTCAAGTCGGTAGTGAAAATCATCTCAAACTGATACTGATCAGTCAATGAAACGATACATTATTCAAATCCTAATATTAATGTTGTCCCCATCTGGATCTTATGTGGGTCTATCTTTACTAATGAAATTTTGTATACTAATGTACTTATGACTCGAAATTTCTTTAGAGCATACGTAACTTTAGTCATCATAATGAAGTGTATAGAACAGTTGAAAATTGTAGTTGTTATTATTACGTATTATGTTACAAGTCAGTTATGAAAAAGAAATGGCATGATAAATATATTTCATCTTAGTAAATGTTTATTATTGAATCTCATGAAGGTAGAGAAGGTTTTGATTTTTGAAAACTGTTAATACGGCTCAAAGTTTTGTTTTTATTTAAGTATTTTGTGCTGAAAATCTGTTAGTATATTATTCCCTTTGTTCAATGTTTTGTGAATGTATACTTGTCTTTCTTAGATGAGTAATAGTTTTAATCGTTAATATTTATTAGTTGTAATATATTTTCATTGTAGAATCATGTCATCACTTGTTTAGAAGTATATGAAGAATGGGTAATCACTGGGTCAGATGATTCAAGTATCTGTATATGGGATATTAATACTGGACAGTGTTTAATTAATTTATTCGGTCACCTTGGTGGTGTTTGGTCAATGACTGTTATACCACGTCAATTGTTATTTCTGTCAGAGCAAAAACAATTATCTCAGCATCCTTTACTTATATCTGGTAGTTGTGATCGAACAGCTCGTGTATGGCAATTAGATGGTCAACATTGGCCTTGTGTAGCCACGTTGTTTGGACATCAATCAACTGTTCGATGTTTAGCTAGTCAAAAGTTACATTCTAGTCCAAAATTTGTTGTTACCAATTCGAACAGTTATCATCGTTCCACAGTTGTATATACTAATGATAATAGTAATAGTATTGATGATAATACTTCTAATTCTACTATTAATAATGATAATGATGATGATGGTGTCGGAGATGATGATTCAGATAAAGAATTAACTCACAATATATTTCATAAACAACAAACCCATTCTAGTCATGAAAGCACGCAAAAAACAACTTCCAATATTCATCAGGCCAACAGTAGTAGCAGTGACGGTAGTAGTAAATTGTTTCATCCAATTCTATCAAACAATGAGTCTATTTCGACGTTTAAAATGGAGAAACAACAGCAAACTTTTCAAACTGGTCACTTAGTTGTTACAGGTAGTCGTGATACAACTTTACGTCTATGGAATGTATTAACTGGTGAATGTATACAAGAATTCCGAGGTAATTTGTTTGATTGTTTTCTAAAAAAAGGATTTATTAATTGACTTCAATGTTAGTATTATGTCACATTTTAATTCTATGTAAAATTGACCAGTGATACAACATTGTATGATCGATATAGGAGAACACCATGGTGTATTAATTGCTGCATTAAAACATTCTGTTCAGTCCCTACTGTGCACCTGTTTAAACGAAAGAGAATAAACTTACTTACTTACGCCTGTTACTCCTCGTGAAAGGTGCATAGGTCGCTCACCAGCATTCTCCATCCAACCCTGTCCTGGGCAATCTTTTCCAGCTCCTTCCAGTTGTTATTCATCCTTTTCATATCTGCTTTTATTTCCCAACGTAATGTGTTCTTTGGCCTTCCTCTTTTCCACTTCCCTTCAGGATTCCATGTGAGGGTTTTCCTCGTGATTCAGTTTGATGATTTGCGTAATGTATGTCCTATCCACTTACAACGTATTTTCCTAATTTCCTCTACAGTTGGTTTGTTCTTTGCTACAGAAGGCTGTTGCTGATGGTATTCGGCCAATGGATGTTGAGTATTTTGCGTAGACAACTATTTATAAATACTTGTACCTTCTTGATGGTGGTTGTTGTTCTCCAAGTTTCAGCTCCGTACAATGAGACTGACTGCCTTGACGTTGGTATTGAAGATTGTGACTTTGATATTGGTTGAAAGTTGTTTTGAGTTCCATATGTTCTTCAATTGTAGGAATGCGACCCTTGCTTTGCCAATCCTCGCCTTTACGTCTGCATCTGAACCTCCTTGTTCATCGATGGTGCTTCCCAGGTATGTGAAGGATTCCACATCTTCGAGAGTTTCGCCATCAAGAGTGATTGGATTGGTGTTCTCCGTGTTGTATTTGAGGATCTTGGTTTTCCCTTTGTGTATGCTGAGGCCTACTGATGCAGAGACTGCTGCTACACTGGCTGTCTTTGTCTGCATTTGTTCGTGTGTATGCGACAGGAGGGATAGGTCATCTGCGAAGTCCAAATCATCTAATTGGTTCTGAGCTGTCCATTGTATGTCGTGTTTTCCTTCGGATATCGATGTCTTCATAATCCAGTCGACCACCAGAAGAAAGAGGAAGGGAGAGAGTAGACGGCCTTGTCTGACTCTGGTCCTTACTTGGAATGCATCTTTCAGCTGTCCTCCATGCACTACTTTGCACTGTAGTCTGTTGTATGAATTCCGGATGATATTGACGATCTCAGATACTCCCTAGTGTCAAAGAAGTTCCCATAATGTTCTCCTATCTACACTGTCAAATGCCTTTTCATAATCAATGAAGTTGATGTATAGTGATGAGTTCCACTCAACTGATTGTTCGACGATGATCCGTAGTGTTGCGATTCGGTCTGTGCACGATCGGTCCTTACGAAATCCAGCTTGTTGATCTTGAAGTTGGGCGTCTACTGTGTCTTTCATCCGGTTCAGCAACACTCTGTTAAAGACTTTCCCGGTTACTGAAAGTAGTGTAATGCCTCTGTAGTTTTCACATTTGCTCAGATCTCCTCTCTTTGGAATCTTGATAAGGTGTCCTTCTTTCCAGTCCATCGGCACTTGTTCCTCACCTTGTTGGTAGGTACAGACTACTTGGTTGTGGTCCGCGTGACTATCGTAACCAATGGTTGGAGACTCTTGGTGACTTGGCTCAGAATCGATCGCAATGGCGTAGGTGTATGCACTCCCTGTCTTCCCTTAAACTAAGAGACTAAAATCGCTTGATATCTTTCTTTCTACTAACTAATTCTTTCTTCCTGTACTATATTCTTATATGCAATCTTTTTTTTATATATTACCACCATTGAATTAACTACTTTTATGAATCCGGTGTTCATCTTGTTGTGCTAATGAGGTATGGCAACTTGAATCGATGCATATATGTGCCTGGTCCTACGTTGTAGCTGGTTGACTGACTTTTTACATATTGTTTGGTTATTTTGATATATCTAGTGCTTACAGATTTTCAATGGCGGTCTGCCTAAGACCAGTTCGTGATTTAAAACAACTTATATTTTATTGACGTCCACCATTAAAAACCGGAAACACCAGACAGTCTTTTTTTCCTAGTATGAATCTCCTCAACAGTGCTCATCTACGATCCCACACGTGAAACTCGAACCCAGGACCTTCGAGCTAGCACAAAAGCTTAACCTCTGGATCACTAAGCTCTCGTCCAAAGGTGTCAGTGTGTAACTTCAATCAACCCACAATATTGCGCAACCATCTTCCATTGTTTTTGCAGTTGACTGCCTCGCACCCGTTACTCCACTGGTCACGGCTTCTCACTAGAGCTCCGAGTATAACCTCTCGAAGCTAGTTATTAAAGAAGATATAAAGATAGTGGCTCGACATCGTGAATTGGTTAAAGTTAGACATTAACACTGTTGAATGCCGGCTCAGTGATCTCGAGCTTTTGCGTGAGCTCGAAGGTCTTTGATTCGAGTCCCGAAGATTAGTTAACAAAATACGCTGAGTAATAATTTATTATTATCATTAAAAACAATGTTAATCAATGTTACGAATTTACTGATGTAGTGTTAAGTTAATATTTATTTCTTTACGGTTTAGTGTTACAGAAAAGCTTAAAGATGTTGAGCTTTTTTCGTCTTTTGATAATTTGGAAAAATTGGTAAAAGTTGATCATATCCCGGCTATCGGTGATATTAGGAGTCGTCGCACTGTTTAGAGCTATTTATACTAGTCTCTAATTCGTTGGAACGTTATCGGGAATAAGATGTACTCTTTTCTCTGTTTTTCCGATGTATGTACTTTGATATATAGCAATTTACATGTATTTGCCATGGTTCTCACCTTGGGACGACAGAGGGGAGATTATTTCCGAGTATGTTTCGAATAATTTTGAATTTAAAGTTACAACAGAGTTTTACTCACCTAATTTAAAACACCTATGTGCTATGTATGCACAGTCGCCCCCTACCTCGACGGGTGATGTTATCTGATGTGGGAGGTAAGCTGAAAGGTGCGGCCAAATCAAGGCGTTGCATCGACCCGTGATGTCGTTGGAAATTGGAATGAGTCAAATTAATTACTGTAATCATTGCTCAGAGACTTTGTGTGATGTCTCAAAGTCGTTTGCAATGGTGAAGGTGCACCAACTTTCTGACTTCCTTTGGAAGCTGAGTTCCGTAATCCTTTTTATCGCTTTTAAATTACTCCTGATACTGTTATTACTCCTAGCATTCTGACATTTTTCTTGATAATTTTATCTCGTCATGCTAATCTGGTATGGTAACTTGAACCGATGCACATATATATCGGATTCCACGTTGCATATTACTGATGAAACTCATGCAAACTCTTCGAAGCTTTTATGGTTATTGTTATAACGGCTGGTTTTCCGCGTCTACACGTATGGGACGTTAATTTACCTTGAACGAATATCTACACTAGATCCCCTCTCAGTGTCTATTCTACGGGACTTTAACACAACTCAGGTCAAGAACACGTGATTAGCCTAACCACAACGTAAATATGTTTCCACACTAAAATCCCGACACAACCCAACAACAATGAACATTCGATAATAATAATTATAAAGATAGGGGAATATATAATTCATCTGACACCTGTCAGACTATCTACATGTCTGACTAAGCAGACAACCAATCATTATCATTTCCACCCACACATTGGTTATTACGTAATCCATCTTATTATTTTTCCGATTGCAAGTATTTACTCCTCATTTTCTTTATTTTTCTGATTCCCATCTTCGGAAGACCTTACCCGTGGTTTTTTACATATCTATATGTTATATGTATAATAGTTGGCATTTCCATATTTTCTTCCGTCAATTAATTTCAAATTATTTTGTATTTCAATAAGAGTACAGTTGTAAGCACCTAAAGGTAAACTATAAAATAATATTAATTAATAATATACTGCATCAATTAAAATGAAAAACGAGAACTAAATGTAGAAAGTGTTTTACGTTTGCCCTTGCTTCAACTCAAGGTCATCGTGGAGCAATACGTTGTGTTCAGTTTACTGGTGATCAAATTGTTTCAGGTAGCTATGATTGTACAATTCGTTTATGGTGTGCATTACAAGGTCATTGTCTACGTGTTTTCAGTGCACATACAAATCGTGTTTACACATTATTATTTGATGGTTATCATATTATCAGTGGTTCATTGGATACGACTATACGTATATGGAATGCACATACTGGTGAATTGAAACAAACTTTCTATGGTCATCGTTCATTAACAAGTGAATTAGCATTTGGGTCTGAACAAAATATTCTTGTGTCAAGTAATGCCGATGAAACAATACGAGTTTGGCATATGAATAGTGGAAAGTGTGTACATGTTCTTGCTGGTAAGTCTACAGTGTTTAACATGCTTTTTTTGGTATTGCGGTCAGTGTTTACTTTAAATGTTTGTACATGTCGATGATACTTTTAGAAAGGAATCCTCTAGGTTTGTCTGGACGGATGAAAGAATAGCACATGAACATGTTTTTATACAGGTGCTCAGTTGCCACCTATCCCATTATACTATGTTGGCCATCATAGTAGCAGGTTGCAAGAACGCTGCGAGCAGCCAAACCACAGTTCAAGAAGTAATGGACTGTTGGATTGTGCCGCATCAGTAAGAGCCACAGACTTGCTGATTTGCACCTGGGCGATGAACATAATTAGTGATTCGAACCATTGTCACATGGCTGAAAACTTGTCACAGCAACCCAGGTGTGTCCGTTTGTTTTGCTTCCAGACCATTAGTATACCACTACGTCATAATTCTTATTCTATGATCTGACTATTTGGACGACATTTCTTAGGTTAATTTTTTGAAATCATTATCGATATTATCATCTAAGCTTTATTTTTCATCCTCTCATCAGTTTTCTCCCTATTCGATGAATAGAAGTTTGGTAACTTGGGTCTCAGTTTAAACGCTGTCTTCCGCTAACTGGCGATTTATTGAACTTCCCTTAAAGTTGTATGATTGATATTTTAAAATGGCGTATATTTTGAGTAGTAGAATCTGCTCATGTCCATATAGAAGTTTCATGATTTGAAGCAAAATTCATTGGAATTGATTCCGGTCGTATTCAGATTAGATGTAAACTTATATAGAATATGGGTAACAGTAGAATCCAGGACGCGTTTCATCGTGTCCGGGATTCATCAGCTGAATATCCGTGCATCCCACAGTTGATGTTCACTTCGAGACTGGAACCCAGTATAGTACCGTTCGTTTCAAACACCAACACATTATCCACTTGACTGTTGAGTTCGGACAGCCATTTGTTTGTGGAACGTGTGTGAATCTTAATTTACTTTTTAATAGTTCGGATTACCATGGTTTCGATATTTTGACTGCGATTTCTATAGTCTTGGCTGGTATATGTACATCTTGTGCGGATTGCCTCGATATAATCGTTGCACAAGTGAGTGGCTATCTGTAATCGGTTTCTAAGTGGATAACGCGTTGACGTTTAGAGCGAACGGTACTGTACTACTGGGTGCCAGTCTCGAAATGAACCTCACTTATGGAATGCACGGATATCCAGCTGCCGATTCGTGGATAAGACGAAACGTGCGTCTTGGATCCCACTTCTGGTCACATCCTATCTGTTTTATATAAACTTGTTATAATTCATATTCGAGGTAATCGGCACATAATGCACATGTACCAGTCAAGACTGATCAAACTTTGGTCAAAATATCGACAACGGGATAATTCAAACCATGATAAAAACTAGTTTGGCTAATATGAACAAATTGATGTAGTGTAAGTCAGAACACTTTTTTAACGGTTAACATTGTCACAAATGTAGTAAACGTACACTTGGCACCAAAACAATCTATATATGAAAAACCTGAATGATTCAAACTTACTAAGCGTTATGTGGAAAGGTGTAGGAGTTCAAGTGATATTTAACACTAGGATGTTCTCTGAAATACGGAAAACCTTTTGGGTTGCGCCTACACACAGGTTGGTCAGTGTGACCTAACTGTGAGAATAGTTAAGGAACACTTATTTATTTAAATCTATAATTCAGACTGATCTTGAGAACACATGTGATATATACATGTCTGTTTCTTGTTCGAATACTCTAGTTTTGAAGCAATTAGTCCCTTTTATAAATTTAGATAGAACAATGAGAAGACTGAGTTTATCTGAAAAATGTGGTGTATTTGCGCTAAACATTTCGAACAATGTGGTCACACATATACTTGTCAAGGCATTTTATATGAAAATTAATAAAGATTCAAGTGAGCGAAGTGATAATCTTAGTAGTTGGATTTATGAGTCGATCTAAGTTAGACCACCATTGATAACCTGGGTCCGATTCCCGCAAGCGAGACCTTCAGTCTCGCGCACGAGCGCTTAACCTCTTAACCACTAAGCCGACATCCAACGGTGTCAATGTATAACTTCAACCAATCCACGAAATTGTGCCACCGTCCACCATTGTCTTCAGTGAGTTACTATCTCACAACAGGCACGGTTGGACTCCACTGGTCACGGCTTCTCACCAGAACTCCAGGAAATACCTCTTGAAGCCAGTCACTAGTGAGCACATGATGATTATTATCAGAAGGGATTTTGTGGATATTATAGTAATTTCAGTGGTTGAGACCATGAGTCAATTGAAGCTAGACCACTATGAAAAACCTGGAAGCACTGGATGACCATTTCGTTCTATTGTGTACAGAAACATTTTGTCGTATGTATTTTGAGTTATAGTTTTATGTTGAAGCTTAATGCTGGTTATTTTTTACTCCAACGTCCTTCTTGTTCTGAGCATTTCTCCGGTATGTATCATTTACATCAATATGTCTAGTTGTATTGATGATAGTGTGATTTATTTACTAAGCACAAATTTAACTTGTGGTATGTGATCAATCGAAGGCAATAACATGACTGATTCATTAAAGGTATTTATATTTGTCCTTTATCTTATATTTTCACAGATTGAAATCATGAGTCAGTTGAAGCTAGACCACCATTGAAAACCTGGAAGCACTGGACGGCCGTTTCGTCCTAGTATGGGACCCCTCAGCAGTGCGCATCCACGATCCCGCACCATGCGGGGCTCGAACCCAGGACCTACTGGCTTCGCGCGCGAGCACTTAACCATTAGACCACTGAGACGGCATCCAACGGTGTTAATGTCTAACTTCAACCAATCCACGAAGTTGCGCCATCATATACCATTGTCTTCAGTGAGCTGTTGTACTCCACTGGTAACGGCTTCCCACTAGAACTCCAGGAGTATCTCTTGAAGTCAGTCACTAGTGAGCAGATGATTATTATCAGAAGGGGTTTGTGGAGATTTTTAGAAATTTTCACAGATTGAAATCATGAGTCAGTTGAAGCTATCATATATCATCACTTTAATTCAAAAATGTTCAACCGTAAAATGATAATACACTAACTATCTACTTATTTGTTGACTTGGACATGTAAAGTCCTAAAGTCCCCAGTTCAGGTAGCTTAGTGGTAACGTCTAAGATTACGAATCAAGTGATAAGAAGTCGGATCCACCGGGTAGGACTGGTTTCCTTAATCTTACAGACACACCTTCCTGACTAGTCCCAAACAGCGCGAACTCTATATCCAGGGTTTTCTATCGACTGCTTCCAACCACCTAACACACTTTTTCCGTTTTATCAATCCTTTCTAGATTTATGATATTATAAATTCGTTTGTATTTTATACCTACGTCATGTAGCTAATTCAATTTATTACTTGGTAATAATATAATAATTTTTATTTGTGTATAGGACCTCATAAACATCAATCAGCTGTTACATGTGTTCAATTAACTCGTAATTTTATAATATCATCTGGTGATGACGGTACAGTGAAATTATGGGATAAGCAGTCTGGTGCGTATATTCGAGATCTTTTACGCCTTGATGGAGCTGGACGAGGCGGTGTTATCTGGCGTATAGTTGCTTCTGAAGAACGTTTAATATGTGCTGCTGGAAGTCGAATTGGTATGGAACCGACAAAATTAGTTATTCTACAGTTTCAAGAACCAAATCTTTGTTCAAAACACTCGAACACTAATAATAGTAGTAATAAAATATCTCATATCTGTCGGCCTAGACATAAATATGCTCCAGAACCGAGACTTAGTCAACTAATATGCACCAATTTCAGTACAATCTAGTATTTTACCATTACTTGTTGGAGATAATTAGGTTAAATTTATTAACTGTTTTAGATACATTTCAATGAAAAATGTTTGGAGATTCATATTTCATTGAATTGTGTACATAAATCAGCTTGTTTACTCGTTTGGTCTTCTGATTATTGATAATTCTTTTTAAAGGTATGTATTAGCGATAAAGTTGTCACAATCACATCTAATCAATAATCACACAGAGTATGGTAAGTCGAGTTTTTATAATTGATTATAATATCGTTAATGCTTTGTGCAAAAGGTTCCATTGATATTCTAAAAAAAATATTTAACCATGAAAATCTAGACCCATCTCTGGTGTTCGGGCAAACTTCGACACAGTAATTAACGGTAGTAATAATGACTGACTGTCAACGGTTCATGGGAATTTCCGTATTTCATGGTTGACGTCAAAGACTGATCTTAGATAGCGCTGAAGAGCTACTAGGACAAAACAGCTGTTCAGTGTCCCCTTACTTACTAACATAAACCTTTCTACCCCCAACCGACTTATTCTTGTTATCTTCTTCCTACTTACATTTTATTTCAATTCTAATGCCATGTCGCGCAACTCCTCCAGTCATTTATCTGCTTGATGAATATTCAAACCCTTAAAAACTACAATTACAGCTTCTCAGTGACAGGTGCAAAGTTCAGTAAATTCTCAACAATAAAGAAATTTCCAATTCTTACTCATTGGGATATTAAAAATATATCATTGTTTTGTTATCAACAGGCATATTGTTCTTTATTCATCCTAAAAGGAAGCGTAATGAGCGACAAACTCGACATATTACGTGTTAGTCGTGTATTATATTTACTTTCTTTTTAGCCGTATGAAAGTCAATATATTGTTAATATATATATATATATATATATATATATATATATATATTAATATATTATATAATTGTTAGGCTGATTGCACACATAAGAGCGAAAATGTAATTGGCTGAATTTCGAACCTAGAATGAACCAACTGGATTGCTTTTTGAGTCTTCTAACCAGCCAGCAACTTAGTTCTTTAGGAAAAAACTTAGTAGATCTAATAGGAATGCTGTCACAAGCTTCTCAAACGCTTTAAAACCAGTGTTTTTCCTACCACTTTTGTAAATTATTAGATCATATGGGTAACAAGTACAAACTTTATATCCTCGGCTTCTTGTCAAACAGTTTGTTTGTTCTTTTCAAATCGATAACCTGATTGTTAGGTGCCGCTCAATGTAAGATCGATTGAGGCGGCCTGCTTGAATATCTGGCCCACCTGTTCCTGCCATCTGGATATTTCAACAAGTCACCTTTTTGCTTGTTTGTTTGAACACATCATTATACCTATTAGTCTCATAACCTATTCAGGTGCGTTTATAGAAAGTTTACGATATTGCCACACAAATTACTAAAGAGCCCAGTCAGAAACATTGTGATTGCTGGCCATATGCATCGAAAAGAATGTACATTATTCAGATGTTGAGCCCTGAACTGCTAAAATCTAACTGGCGACCGCTCAATATTGCAAGGATCGGTTAAAAAATTAAAGGAAACATGTTGAAATAATTCATGCTGAAAATTCTGTTGTATGAAAAATACAATATTGAATAAAGCCACTAATAAGAATAAAACGATTGGTCCGTACTGGGATGTTATTTGTTTCTTGAAAGATAACATGACATTTGCATTTGAACTGCGACATAAACCTTTCCACTGAGATCTCAACATATTAATAATTTACTATCCAAATTTTCCTACAATAATGCTCTAAAAATATACCGTCTAACAATTTCGAACCTTTGACTCATCAGTTAGTACTTACACTCTAAGAAGTGCTGGCTCTATTTAAACCTAGTTGTGAAATAAGGTTGCCATATAATTAAGAGATTCCACAAAAATTATATCAGCCATTACTATTTGGTAATTGCGAAACTCCCAAAGGATTTAGGTGATCACTAACAACTTACAACAAATCACTGAAGCTATTTGGTTCAGGCAGAAAAAGACCAAAAATTAGCAAAAGTAATCTTTTATATTTCAACTTTACACTGGTGCATATGTCGTAAGTGTTTACAGGAATAATCTTAAGAGAGCAGCTTTAAGTCACCGGAAACAAGGTTTATTTCAGAAGCTAAAGCTGATGGGGAAAAATTAAAGTAATTTCAAGTACAAACCCGGTCCTATCCCAAGAACAGTTGCGGTGCCTTTAGGAACTTGTGTATGGCCAGCATCATGTATAATTGAATTAACAAGGCCCAATGACTCGGCTTTGTGGGATAGTTCAAGCCTAAAAACAGCAATAGATTAGAGCCACTGTATTAGAATCATGAATAAATCCACATTTCTTCATAGTTGTCGACTTTAAGTACGATTTTTGGTTGTCCTTGTTCTTCCCATGCCTTTAAAATACCGGGATTTCTCTCAATAATCTCTTCATAACAAGAAACAGCAGCATGAGAACACTTCAAAACTACGGATCTTAAGAGTATGAGATAAGTTACCTGAGCAGCAATCTTTCCACAACCCATTTTAAGATCAGACCGTACTATTAACACTAGTTTCATTTTACCAGGAACAGGCTTGTAATGAGTCAGTTTTGATGCTAGACTGACCTATTATTGAGAGACTAGTCATTTGGAAAAATTGGGGCTTACATTGCTACCACGCCGACGAAAGATACACCAGCCAACGAAAACACCAATGCTCCCCGACACAATGGAAGTAAGGACAGTTAGCTCCATATTGGTTTTGATAGTGAGATTCAAGATAAATGCGGACGTGGATACTGTAAATAGATAAACACTTGTGAAACGCTTCCAAACTAACGGGACAAGCGAAATTTGCAGCGAACGAGCGCTGACCACACTAAGTGAACTCAACTGTTTTGAAAAACATGAACGTTACGTCCTACAGTTGACTAAACAAAGACTAAGTTATTTCCACATTCAATGTTTAGAACTACTGATTCCGTTGCAGATACGATGATCGGTAAAAAAAGATCTGTGATAATAGAAGTGTGCCGCGTCAATTGGTAAGACAGTAAGATAAATCTTATTCTAATGATTTATCTCAATATAGTTGTCAAAAACGAGCACTCATCAGCTCAACCCAGACCATACGTCTGGAAAGCTAATACACAAGATATTATACACTCAGCATCGTCAGAAAGGTTGTACAATAGAGCTGAAGTCCTTAATTGAAACAGCTAGGGGTGTATTTCGAAATTTATCCTTGAAGGCTATTGCATACCATATCTCGGGATACACTAGGGGGCCGAGGAACTCTCCACCATGGTTCAGTAAGGAGGTTCACACCCTTCTCTGCAAGAGAAGAATGTGTGGTAAATTTAGGCAACTGGGGACTGACGAGACAAAATCTCAATATCGAGGAGTTCGGGATGCTTGTACATCGACCCTCCGTATGTCTAGAAGTTTGTACAACGAAAAAATTGTTGTGCAATCCATAGAATGCCCTTGTCGCTTGGGTTCGTACACAAATCAAAGAACTAAAAGAATAGAAAATATTCCAGCACGATGTGGGGACAATATTGTTTCATCATTAGCGGAGGAAAACTTTGGTAAATCTAAATTATTCTCAAACTACTTGAGCAATATATACCGTGGAAACACCTTTTCTTTCAGGCCATACAAATCTTCCCACATACATACTGGACAACATGACCGTCAGAGAACTCAATGTCTTTGGTCTGCGAAATAAGTTTGATGTAGGCAAATCCACGGGAACCGATAAACTGCATCCTTGTTCACTAGCAGTACTATCTAGCTTCGTTGTTATCCCCTTAGGTATATGCTTTAATCTATCCGCTACCCAGATTCGTCCACCAAAAGATTGGGAGAACACCATAGTGAATTCTGTCTTCAAAACAGTTACGAAACATAAACCTGAAGACTATAGACCCATTAGCCTAACTAACGTGTTTTTCAGAATTTTATAAAAGATTATTCCGAAAGGGTTTTTAAGTATCTCGATAAAAACCGGATTCTTTCCGAAAGGCAGCGTTGTTTTAGAATAGGTTATCCTTGTCGCATTAACTTTATAGTGGCTCGTGAAGGCTGATGCGCTCTTAAAGATCATGATTTGCCTATAGTTCTAACCTACATTGACTTCAGCAAAGCATTTGAAAAAGTTCCTCACAACCGGCTGTTGAAGGTGATTTATTCTGTGGATAAAGGACTTGCTCGATGAGCGTCAACAGTGTGTAAGCATGAACCTAGATCTTTCTTGTTGGGAAACTATGCTTAGTGGAGTACTTCATGTTTATGGTTTTGGGGCCAGTGCTATTCCTCGTATATAAAAGTGACCTTCGTAGTCCCATATCATTATAGAGACTCACGTGCAACTGAGTTTGTTCACATTTAATTCGATTAAGTCATTTTGTTAACTTATTAACGAACTGAGTCATCCGTACAACAATAGTAATAAAGATACAGTGATATAGATAATTTGTTGTTGTACGGATGACTCAGTTCGTTAATAAGTTAACAAAATGACTTAATCGGATTAAATGTGAACAAACTCAATTGCAAGTGAGTTGCTATATCATCCTCGGTCTTGTTATATGCTGACCATATCAAGATATGGAGAGCGATACGAAGTAAGGGTGACAGCTGGAAACTTCGAAATGACCTGGAGAAATTATCTGAATGGTCTCAAACCTTGCAGTTGCCGAATAAGTGTATTGTGATGTATATCGGCCATCAAAGTACAGATACATACATGATGAATAACACTGAGCTACCTGTTGTCCAGAAACAATAACTTAGGAGTCATCGTTAGCCAAGAGTTAAAGACTACTTCACACTGCCGCGCAATAGCCGCGAAAGGTTTTAGAACATTATGGTCAATACGTAAGACTCTTAGTCATGTCGACGCTAAAAGTTCCTTGAATTTGTACACAGTGTTCGTGTGTCCGAAACCATCTCTGTCGTGAATATCACCGGCAGCCTAGCATCCGTTCCTTTACATAAGAATGCAAAAGTATGGCGGTAAAGTGAACTTCTACAGTGTCTTACGCATACTAGTCTCTGATGTGTTCCTAGCACTTTACAATTCTTATTTTAGAACGCGTTGTTGTTAACCGGTTTTCGGATACCAGCTAATTTTTGCCTCGATTTTTGACTATCAGGGAAGGTACCACAATTGCGAGGCTCGTGTCGTCCGAGTGTACGGGAGGAAAATCAACATGACTAGGATTTTCTTCTGAATACACTGTGTTAACAAGGTCAGTTTTGGCGGAAAAGTCCAAGTTTGAATTGGCACCCTCACTTTGCAGTGATAGTTGAAGGGCAACCGAAGTTTGCTACCCACTGTTTGATGAAGGTGCGGGTCGCTGTTTCGGGAGTAATGTTCATGATGGGTACTGCTTCTGCCCGTCGAGTGAAACGGTCTACGCAAGTCAAGAGATAAGAGTATCAATTTGAATCTAGTAAAGACCCTACCAAGTACAGATGAACATGGTCGAGACGAGCATCGAGAGTTTTTATTGAGCAAAGGGGACATTTTTTGTGTCTAATCACCTTATATTTCTAACAGCTTATATAGGAGCGTGCCCACTCCGTCACATCTTTATTTATATCAGGCCGGAAAAATCGTTCTGCTATGAGCTTGATGGCTACAAGCAAACCTGTACGAGAAAACTTGTCCAACGTATCGACGACGCGACAAGAATGTTTCGGCATTGTTTGGCAATCCTTGCTTGTAGATGTATCACATAGTAAAGCTAACCAACCTGTCTACATCCATTTTCAGGGTTGTTGGAGACAGTTGGCGTCGAAGATCAGAGTTTTCCTTTAGAAATTGGGCGAGTTTAAGAAGGTCGTTTCTTTGTAAACTGTCCTAGGAATTAATGCAAAACGAGATGTCTGCAACTGCATCGTTCACTACAGACATATGTTGCATATCTGAAATAAACTATGACATGTGGTCCAATTGTTGAGACGCCTGAGGGGCAAACTCGTCTGAAAATGAGTTTAGAGGTTTATGGTTGGTAAGCTTGGAAACAGAAATATTCATCTCACCACAAAATTTCCGTATTTTTGGGCTTGAATGGGAAGAATGACAAAACCACTTAAGGGGTATTATGGGCATTATCTCGATATATTTCATTTCTGTCATAAAATGAACAGTATTTGCTTGGTAACTAGTTGGAGCTAAGTTTACAGATTCACTATGGTCGATAAAATTCAGCTTCTTTGATGTAAACTTATACTCCCTTGTGGGAAAATTGCGATAATTTTACCGATAAACATAGGCAAAATTTCGCAATGCAACTCCAACAGAGTATCACTTCACTAGGATAACTCTTACAGTAAATAGTCTCCGAAACTTAATGACTGTTTAACATTCATTCTGACATCGTTAGTCCTAAGGAGCTCCCATGTAACGATTGTGCATTAGGAAACAGACCTAGCGGTTTCACACCCATCTCCGGCCAAAATAAAACGAAACATCTCTTGAAATCGCTATTTTCTTCTTCCTTATTAATTTTCTCGGCACCATGCTCAAAAGTTCCGGATAATGATAACACTTTCCTAATTTGTCGCACTAATATTTTCTAGTTTACAGTAATTTCAGGCAAAATGACCTGATTAAAATTAAAGGTATTCAAAAGGTTCATCATAGCTGTTTTGGGATATTTTGACACCAAGGATTGTCAACAGAGATGTCAACAATCCAAAACAAGACCTCTCTGAATCAGGAGTGTCTAATTAAACTTTGTCTTTATTTACAGGTTAATTAATGACATTTCCTACTCTTCGGTATCCACCTCTTCCATATTCCATGATATCATCTCACAATCTAAGCAGTAAGGGAAACGTTCTAGCGATTCAAAGAGCCTGGACCAGAACTTACGCCAGACATTTTGTTTGCTATTCGCTACTTAACCATGTAGAACAGACTGCCAGTGAACCTCCGTTGCAATGAAACTACAACAGGATTCAAGAGTCTCTTTGGTGATTTTTTCTGAAAGTGGGTCGTATCACCTATCGAATATTAATACGTTTAATAATGATTTATACAAACAAGGTCCGTCATGTATCTAATTGACTGAAAAGTAAGGTGCAACTTTTGAAACTAGTCGCGTCCATTTTGTTTTTTTATTAATCTTAATGTATGAAGTCTGCTTATGTTCATATTTATAATTATTACTGTGAATAATATCATTATTGGTCCCTCGACACATTGGGTACTTTTTACGTCACTTCCTTTCATCTAAACATATTTTATTCATAAACATCCGAAGTCTATAACTAAAGACAAACTATCTTGTGTTACATTTAAATTAATTGACGTCTCAGACTCATTTTATCTTCACCACATATATATAACACATAAATTTATATTTGATTATCTTTCATAGCATTATTTTAAGTCTGTAGTATCGGTTGAAATGTTAAGCCCATATATCCTATTCTAGCTTTCGGACAGCCCTCTCTATTCCTTCGACTTGAGTCATATTTCGACCTTGCTAATTATTCGCTTATCAATCTTCACTGTTTTTATATGAGCGCATATGTGTGCGTACATCTCTCATCCCATTACTCTTCACACGTCTGTAACTTATTTTTATATGACCATAAATATTGATTAACGCTCGTATAAAGGGGAGTTGGCTTACTCGCCGTCTCCACTGCGCATCGTTTCGCTCCTCTCTATTTCATTCGCTTCACATACGATACATATGTATTCAAAAGTCCATTCTCGTTATTCGACTTGTTTAATTTCGTTATTCACTGAACGCAGATTAAGTCGATAAAGACATACGAGGAATGGCAGCATATACAATTCAATAACAATCATTCATGCGATCTGCTTGGAGTCAGATCTTGGTCCACAAAAGTGGAGAGCCCGTCAACAAACATCATCCAATCTGGATGACGGT